AACTGTTACAATAAGAAGCACGAAGATTAAACTAATTTCTAGCAGTATTCAGCATGTGAAGTAAAATAACTTTAATCAAAAGGTAATGTTACCTCATGAGGCAGGTAGTCCTGAGGTAGCTTAGATAACATATCATCTGCCAGTTTGAAGACCACACTCTCCCTGGTCTCTCCACCTCCTCCCCCACCCTCCTTGGGCTGAATGTTCACTATGGTGTCCAGGACCTCCTTGGCTGTGTTACCCTGGTAACTGGAACATAATAATTATAACCATTGGCACAAGTACTTATCAATCCTGTAGAACAAACCACTGATTATAGAGTATTGTTGGCAAAAATTTAAGTTTGCATTTTGCTTGAAAATTGTTGCAAACTTTGCCATAAATTCCTCTTAATTATGAATTTAAAATAAGTGGTAAAACTTAGAAACTGATGAGAAACGCCTGATATCAAGCTTGCAAATAAATAAGATTTTAAACATTGTTCTAATGATTCTTTGTGGCAAAAAAATTTTCTCACGTCTTCATTTGATTTTTTTTTTAACAGAGAGTTAAAAATAAAAGCAGTTCCCAAAGACATTACAAACTAGTGTTAATCAAACTTATCAGCACTTACGTGATATCTGCATTAGGGTGCAGACCAAAAGCTTCAGGTGAGTCCACTGTGGGGAGTTCTTCTATGAAGGCCAAATGTTGCTCCACAGTTTTACACTTAGGGATCTTATAACCAATGTAGAACTGGAAGCTGTCACTAAACATTGCATCACAGAACCACACCTAAACAAATAGCAGCAGGGTATTAATTTAAGTCCACACCCCAGTATACTATGACTTTGTTAGGTTTTGTACTTTAATCCATTTAATTTCAGCCTTTCTAAGACTTGATTTCATGTGAGCATAGATGCAGGTTATGGTCACTGCCATGCCATAAAGCCTGTCTGCACAAGGTGTAGTAAAGGGCTTCTTAACCAGATTGGATTTTCAGTTCCAAATAACCATAATTTTTCACGTTTAACAGAATCTTATACACCAGTCAATCACCTTAGCAAATGTATTAAGGAGTCTCTTGTCATAATCATCAGTGACCCTCCCTCCGTACTGTACTTCTCCCAGCATATAGCGGACTGTATTCCAGGAGGGGCCCTGGGGAAAGACAAGATCATAATATGACACCAACAAATGGAAAACAAATGGGGCTATTGTTATAGAACTGCTAATTTTATAATTATTTTAACTTGCATTTGGTGAATATTAACCTATTATAATCATACCACAAAAAAATTGCAATAGCATGATGAGATGAAACATTCTGGACAAGCATGTGAAATTGCTTACGAAACAAATTACCAAACTGGTAAACTAAACGTTTTTAAAGCTTTTTAAGAGATATAACAGATATAATGCATGCAATTATTAAAAAATCAATAAAAGGAAAACTGGGCTTATGAACCAGAGCATCACTCCTACTCATCCACCATTTAATAAATAAATAAATAATCTACAAATCCTTACCTTCTTGACGTCCATGTCATCCAAATGGTTCTGGATAAACTGCACACTGGCAGTCAAGTCAGCAGAGTTGAACTCATATGGAATGTTCCAGCCAAGAGGACCAAACTTACGACGCTCCTGGAATGTAGAGATTATATATATAGACACAAGTTTGCTGGTGATCATCACGAAAACAAAATGTTACTAAGACCCATTTCTATAGACACCATCAGACTATGTGCGTGTATCAATCCAACTCCACAGAGACTCAATATATACTCGAGGATATATACATTAAACTAGAATATTGTATCAAACTATTAGATTTAACTGTAAGACTAGTTGCTGTCTTCAGACCTGTCTTAATGTAGTCTTACCTGTACCACAGTGTGTAGGAAGGAGACAGTGTACAGCATAGGTTTCCACTGAGGCATACTGCTGATATCCAGGAAATCCTGGGAGAAGGCCACATAGGTCCTCATCAGACCAGCCTTGATACCCTGGGGAGGCTCATTGGTAAACTTGATGGAAGCCTAACTCATGGAATCACAGGAAACGGGGGTGATATAATTTTATTGATTTTTTTAATTCTTTCTTTCTTTATTTTTGCAAAATGGCAAATGTTACATACAAAGATGAAAGTAAAACTTTAAAAACCAATCCTGAAAATACAAGTGCAGAAGGCAGGCATGCAGCTCTACATCTGCTATTTGGGGGTCTGGGTGCATAAATATAATATAATATAACACCCTAATACCCCTTTTTTTGGATAAACCAGAAAGACTTCTATTTCACTTACTATATATAAGTTAAGCTGTTGGAATTAAGGTGAAGTACAACTCATGAAATAATCGATAAAAGGCCATGACTTTGATGATTAAATATATTGCATTGCCACATATATACCTGCAGTAAACTAATGGGAAACTTGTCATGGACCTCTGTAGTAATCCACACCCTGAAGCCCTCATGGATAGTCTCTGTGTCAGTCAGTGTCTCCAGGAGTTCATCCATAAATTCCAAACCCAAGTGACAGTTCTGAAGCAGTGCCCAGCCTCCCTGGAATGAAGCAAAGCAAAAGGTATATCTTGGCAACTAGTGCCTAATGCAATTGCTCATGTCCCAAGGCAAACTTTAAAATCTAAATACTTAAACATAAAACTGTCTACTTACTGACTGCATAAACAGGGCCACCAGTTTCCTGGCATGTACCTCCTGACCCTGACCCATGGAGATGGCTCTGCATTCTGAAGTTATAATGACATACTCAATCAACAACATGTACATTCATAATTTTAATTAATATACTGAAAATATTTTTACTTTATGAAAGATGATTTTGATGAAGGAATATAATTTTGAAAGAAAAAAAATATGAGAAGGTTAATTATCAAATATTTGTGTTGAGATATGTCTCCATTACTGACCAGTATGTAGTTTCTTAGCCAGCCCCTCAATCTGGTTGGTGGGGTCAGAGCCCATGGACAGGAGACAGATGAGAGGTGTTCTGGGGTCACTTTCCCCCCAGGTGGCCTCTAGGTTCAGGATGACAGGATCTGCATATCTCTTCCCCATAGAGTCAGCTATGTACTTCCTGGCCTGGGCCATAGTACGGTCTGGACACCAGGACCTGTGAATATTATATATCACAATATAGAGTCAGCTATGTACTTCCTGGCCTGGGCCATAGTACGGTCTGGACACCAGGACCTGTGAATATTATATATCACAATATAGAGTCAGCTATGTACTTCCTGGCCTGGGCCATAGTACGGTCTGGACACCAGGACCTGTGAATATTATATATCACAATACAGAGTCAGCTATGTACTTCCTGGCCTGGGTCATAGTACGGTCTGGACACCAGGACCTGTGAATATTATATTTGAACAATTATATATTGTATGTAATTAAATATCATCCCTGCCAACATACAACAGACCAATTAGACTTAAAGATTAACTATAGCATATGCAGCCCATATACAAACAATTAAATCCATATTACGTAAAAAAACTTTACAAAAGAAAGTGAATAGGCAAAGATTACTACTACTTCAGCATATATTGAAATGTAAGAATAGTAAGACCGAAGAAGCTAAACCCATGCTAAAATCTTCGAGAAGACACAGATATACTTCTCAATATATTGAGATACAAGAAATGCCACATGCTTGTTGTATAGTAAAGTAAGACTGACCAAGCTACCTTATAAGCAGCAGTTTCCTAAAGGTGTCCAGTGCGCTGGAGTAGCCATCTGGTATCACTGTCTCCTCTGGGGCATCAGAATCAAACCATGTCTTCCATGACTTCTCATTGCCTGGTATCTGAGGTGTTTATATATAACGTAGTAGTAGTAGTAGGCAATTGTCATCTTTATGGCCTTTTAAACTTATAGTAACAAAAAGCACAGCCATCTGGCGTGTGTGTGTGTGTGTATGTGTGTGCATGCGCACATTTACCATAAATTACTAGTAAGAAGATGTCATTTATGTAAAAAGAACCTCCAGTTCTGCTGCAAAAGGTCTACTCTACATCAAAATTTGGCTTTGATTTTACACAAATTCTCTAATTTGGATCAACTGCTAGATTCGGTGGGTCTACATTTTTTTAGAAAAACAACTCCTTTAAAATAGCTGGCTATACAGGCATGGTTTGTAAATAACATTATTATTTAACAAAAAAAAAAAAAAAAAAAAACATATGAAAGTTGTTCTGGTTGTTTACTGATAACACATATACTAAACACTCCAGAAGTATCAATAAAGACACACGTAATGCCTCCTTACCTGGTGTAAGATGTCTCTGAACTGGCCCAGTTTGCTGAGCTCTACCAGGTTCAGCCAGGTCATGTCCAGAATCCACTTGCATGGCTTAGGTTGAACTGCATTCAGGTCCAAGGCAGCACCACCTGGGGATGATAGTGACTTTAGTCAAGGTTGGATAATTTTAAGTCTACTAAGATATTTCTCTTTCAAAGAACTAATTAAATTGTTGTATAAAAGTGACCAATCTCAACAAAAATTAGTAGAATATTAGACAAATAACTATAAAATGTGCCAATTTTTAAAAATCAATAGTTACAACAAATCAGCTGTTATTCTATCTTAAAATAGTATTATGTATCATTTACAGAAAAGGCCACGGACAAAAGCAAGCATATATATTTTTGCAGAAATAAACAGAAGGTTATATACACTAACTTACCAATAGGACAAATACAGTCTAACACAAGCCTTAATTGACACAGTGTCACCCACATTGTACTATGTACAACAGTTAACCAACCTTTGATGAGTATCTGAAACTCCTGGTGAGAGACATTGCCCTTCTGTGTGTCAATCTTGAGACAGAGCAGCAAGGTGAACAGGAACTTGTGGTTCTCATACAGCCCCCGACAGGAGTAGGCAAACACCTCAAACCTCAGGTAGTCGATGATGTTGTTGATACGCTTGGAAGTCACAGGAGACTTGTCTGATCTGAAAGTGGACGGGTAAATTGATCAGTTTGACATGCCCAATATCTTTACAAATACAGTTTTTCAACATTCCTACTTTGGCATCAATGACAAGTTCCTATATATACTTGAGCTCAGTATATAATGGTTCCATATCAGATCCCATTTCTATTCTATTTTTAATACACTATCTATATGTGCTGTTTGATGCCAATATAATAATTAGATCATCAATGTGCACAAGTTACTTGTAAAAAATTGTGGGTATGAAGTAGGACCAATAATAAGCAAAGCACACCATTTAAATGCAAAGAACCATTCTTTACCTTGCCATGGAGTGGTCAAACAAGCCCAGGAACTGTTTGAGGGAAGTCTGATACATGGTGTTCACCATACTCATTTCACAGATCAGGAAATACAGAATACTGCCTTCAGTGGCAACTAGAACACAAAACAACACTTTCATGGTACTATCAATTCCCACAATGACATGTATATTAATTAATGTTACAGAAAAAAATATTGATCCAATATTTTGTTGAACAACAATGGTATTTTAATATTCTTTTCTGTTTAGACTAGTGCATTATGGTAATTCTACACGTCTCTGTCGTTCAGGACTTTTAGAAACTTTTAACAGGCACATAACAGTAATTACCTGGTCTAAACTCCTCTCTTGCGTCATTAATTTTTATTTCAGTTTCAGCAGCAACTGCAAGTTTCTCACTCACTTCAGCTGCAGTTTGTTTGGTTACTGCCAACACAGAGATCAAGGATTCATCATCTACCAGAGAGCCCTGCCAATTGAAAACGTACATTGCATTTTATTGTTATCTTAACCTGGGTTCCAAAGAAAAATGCCAATGAATCTTTCACACAAAAAAGCATTTGAATAGACACTTATCTATAAGAGATAATAATTAGTTATTTTTAAAGGGAACTATTTACTATTCATAAAGCAAGAAAAAAAATTTTTTTTCAATTAATGAAATCATAAACTACTCCTAAATTAAGATCTATGTAAGGCATAAACTATGTAACAAATGGCTCACAATAAGCCTTCCATACTGCTCCATCTTGTCCATACCTTTGTACTGGTGAGTTTGTACAGGAGATTGTCTTCCAGTTCTTGCATCTTGCGTTTGTTGGATGTGACATCCTCCATCAGTTTAGTGCGCTCTGCTTCAAGTTCCTACAGACAAATATTTTATTGTCAGATATGTCAACACTGTAATGAAATCAACTGCTTAGTGTATGCCATTAGTATCTATAGCCTAGTATTACTTCTTATTACTTTAATTAAGTTTAATGGTTCCCAGTGTACATAAAAAATATTGCTACTAGACCAGGTTACCTCATACAAACCACACCTTCTAGTACCTGTATCTGCCATATCAACATCTCACCTGTTTTTCAGTAAGGATTACTCTTCCAAGTAACTGGTCTTCTAATCCTTTCATTGTTACTGTGAAGTCAATTATGGAAGTCCTGGCACTTATCTAAAGGTAAAAAAGTTCTGGTAAGTTAGTGTTACTCCCATAATGCCCTTTGTGTAAAATAAATATATATAAAAATGTATGTTACAAGCACAATCTGTGCATGATTCTTGAAACAATCTATCAGGTTAATTTGATTTTGGTGATTATAAAGAGTATACCTACCTCTGGTGTATAGGCTGGGTTGGGTAACTTGGTGGTAATATACAGGTAGAACCCGTCCATGACATCCACCTCCTTGTCACCCACTTTTACTTTATAAGTTCTCCCAGACTTAATAAAGTTCTTCTCCAGAACATTGTCCAGGGCAGGGTCCAGCTCTTCAGATACATCCTCTATCAGCAGTGGTCTGCCCAGAGACAGGGCATCCTCCATGTGGGTGCGGAAATACTTGTGGTTCAATGATGTCAACTAGGAATTCAAGATGATTCAATAGTCAGTCAACGTATACACATAAAAACTAATATTCTGTCAACATGTTTTTTTTAGTTCAGCAGCTTTTTCCTTAAGCAATAAATAGGTGATGGAAATTTAAATATTTGCTGTAATTACTTTTCACCAAGTTAATGATTGCACAAAACTGATGGAAAGAATCTTCAATAAAAATATTTCTCTATAAGCTCATATAAGGTAACTGACACAATTTTTTAACCCACTATTTTAATTTTCTACTTGGCTAGACCACGTGTACCCCCTGTGCTAACTCTGATGGTACAATAATCACAGTATACAAGGAAGACCAACCTGCAGTTCTCTGTCTTTCTCCCTGTTCTTGATCCAGTTCTTGCCCTGTCCCTGAGGGTCAATGAGTAGTGGATATCTTGTTGCCTTGGTGACAATGATACCATTCTGAATAGACAGGTCATCATTGGGAAGGCCTTGAAGGTTCCACTCTCCTATCTAACAAAATAGACATTTTTACATAATGAATCAACAGGTATTGAGCATATACATTAATTTAGGTAGTTCAAATTCAAAGATAAAAATAACTTTCAGTTAATAACATCACAATTTAAAATAAACCAAGTTTCATAAAATGAAAGAAAGTAAACTACAATTTTAAAACAAGACAATATCTATTTTCTAAGTAAATCAATCATCAAATCATTTCTCTTTGCTAGTCAAGCATCCTTACTGTAGCGTTGTCCACCAACATATCTGTGATGTTGAGGTCAGTGGTAAAAGGAATTCTACGTTTCATCATCTCAGACTGCCAGTTGTTCCTCAGTGTGGTTCTGAACTCTTGGTTGAATGGGCCAGCATATGACAGGAACCCAGTGCACAGTAGTACATCACCAACCAGTCTGTAATGTGCAATAACAGGTATGACTGATGACAAGGAAAAAAAAAACAATAAAGTGAGCATACAAAACTGTAAAAGTACATTTGATTTGACAGGGAAAGCTGATAGGAAAAACCAACTGACATCTCACTTCCATCTAATATGAAGAAATAGTATATCATGATCCTTTTACCTGTCAATCTGAGACTTGAACTCCTTACTCTGGGCCGTCCACCTGACCTTCTCCCCTGCCAAACCATTGATGAGAGCCGACGCAGCGTCCATCTTTCTACGGCAAGTTTCTGCATCATCTAGCAGTTCCTGAACGTAAATGATTTATTTATTTTAAAGAAAAATTGGATTTTAAATCACACTGAATTTTGTGTTTATCTAGGGTTGAACAGCCTTTCAATGATATCAGAATCATTAAAATATCATTTAATCAAATTTCAAGCAATGGTTTAGGGGGAGAAACTAGACATATAAAGCAGAAGGGAAATTGCACCTCTAACCATAAAACAGATCAACTGAAATCATTATAATTTAGTTTAATTGAATTACCTGCTTTTCTTTCATAGCTGCATCATAGATTGCCTGTACAGCATCCAGTTCTTTCTGCTTTTCATCTAGCTGTGCCTGTGCACTGTTCAACTCCTTGGTGGCTACAGTTAGTTTGGCCTCTTGAACAGCAAGGTTAGCCTGGAATGACAAACAGAATTATAATGTTACCAAAAATGTTTAACTTTATAATTCTGCTACTCTGAGTGAACAGAACCAACTCAAAATTCTGCACAAATAAATAACAATATAAATAATCACTATGAATTTTAACAATCAATTAAAACATTAAAACAAAACAAAAATATTATATGTCTGAATTATTTTATCAATAATAACTGAATTTTACATCAATCAACTGGCGACACAAATACAAGTACAGGGAATACAAAAGAGAAAACAACCAAAACAGCAGTTTCAATCTGACACATTACTGTCATTAAAGTTCAACCAAAACTGAAGAGAATTCTGTTCTCCCCTAGGAACAATATGCCATACCTTTAGAGGTAACACCTCCTTGTTGATACCATAGAAGAAAGACATAGCTTTTGTCCAGGAGCAGAGTCCAGCTACATCACCACAGACTTTCTTGGCTGTGTCAAAGTTGTAGTCTTCCATTTCCAGGTAGGGTTGCAGCAGTTCCACAGTCTCTGCATTGATGCTGTCTTTAGGGAAGGTCTGTAAACTTTGGAGGAAGCCACCACCACTCATGAGCTGGATAATACAAAGATTTTACTTACACAGCAGGAATGTACACATATCTGATACAGAATGTAATTTTATACATCATTTCAGTTAAACCTAACAGGTTTTTTACTCACTTTAAAATATTTTCACCTTTTATATGCTAATAATCAAGAACAAATTGGAAGGTATAAATTTCGTTGACAAAAACTGGAAAATAGAAACAGAAGCATTAACATGAATACACTGAATTCTATTTCAAACACTAACTATATGTTTCTTTACCTTCAATGACTCTCCCCAAGAAGGTTTTACACAAGGTCTTTCAGGGTCTTGTGTTACAGGGTCCACAGATTTTTGGAACAGAATCAACACGCAGTCCATAATTCTCATAATTAAGTGTGGTGGCTTGCCCAGCTTCCTTACAGTTGAAATATGAGCAGGTTTAATGGTCTGGAACAGAAACAGAATTATAATAATTGTGTGCAAACACATCAACTTTAACCACACATCATTCTGTGAGATTTTGATTTTCTAAAGCAAATCAGTTCAAAAAGATGAGTATAAGAACTCATTAAAGCACTGAAAATCAAAGTCCATCTCAGAAATCCCCACCTGAAGTGCAGATTCTGCCTCTTCCAGTGCAGGTCTTGCATCCTCCAGTTTAGCATGAGCAATGGCCTTCTCGTGGTTGATTTCATCTACAATTTTCTGAGCCTTATCTTTCACCTTCTGTACTGAAGCTTTCACCTTCTCTGCCTCCTGGGCACTGACTGTCACCTCAGCAAGCACCTGTAAAATACCCAACATCCATGGTCATTTCTTTGAAGATGACTCAGAAACAAAGTCATTTATAAAAGACTTAATATGATAATTGCCTGTTGTTACTGCAGAAATAAAACCACTTAAGTTTTATTGCCAAGTATGAGCACTCAGATATACATTCATAATTGTAAAACTTATTGCACAGATGATGCACTATTTACTGATGACTTTAACCATGCAGTTCAGTTCTTATAACTGAACATTGATACCTTGTCAGCTTTGACATTGGCCACAGCCAACTCTTTTTCCTTTTCCTTAAGGTCTTTGGACAGCTGGTCTACTGACTGGGTGGCCTCAATCAACTTGTTTAACCCTAGTATAAATGATATCACAAATGAACAAAATGACTTCTATCAAATGAAGAAAAATATCAATGTTAATTTGATACTAATGTTCTGAGGCACATATCAAAGTTCACATCAACAAATATTCCACTGGTATTAAAATCACTCAAATTTAACTTTGTTAGCATCTTCAGCATTAGGCACGGTGTTGCAGCAACAATTTCTCTGTTCTAGTACACCATACTGGCACCCACCAGTGGCCATTCTGTTGGCCAGTTCTCCAATGTGGTCATACTTCTCTGAGTAGATGGACTTGTACCCATCAATGAAGGACAGATAAGATTTGGGAGTCACGTGAGTCTGACGGCGATACCTTGAAATTACAAGTTTAAATGAAATCATCTGCCTTAAAAATTTGTAGTAATTTCATTTATTTGTCACAACACAATACTTCACCTTACTTATGTAACTCAAATTCTCTTACAGTGCTCTAAAGAAGGTAATTTATTTATGAGAATAAACTCATTGTCTTGTTGAAACCAACACACATCTCATATACAGTGTGTCTGTAGTAATCCAGATCAATATATCTAAAACACACCTCTGGAAGTACTCCACACAAGTGTTAGCCACATTATCATGGACAAACCCCATGGCCTCCACCAGGTGCTGCTTGGTGTCATCTGTGGTGACAATCTTGTAGTTGGACAGGAAGTGGTTGGAGACAGCTATTAGGGCATCCCGCGGCCAGCGACTGAACCAGTCCATGGTGCAGCCTGAGATCAGACCTGGGAACTTGAGAGAGCGGTTGCGGAACTTCTCCCCTACCTAGAACAAGCAGTTCAAAAAGTAGATACATGAAATATCCTTATGATACATGTTTAAAGTATGGTAAAGACTTAATCTTTTCAGTGGGCAAAATGATCAAACTTTCAGACACATAATTTTATAATCACAAAAATTATATTTCTATATGGCATTTGTGGAGCTTTTCTTCATAGAATAGAACTATAGAGTAGGCTGCTTTTTATTTTATTGCTGCCACTCAGTAAGAATGTTCTAATTTTAAGTAATAATTATATTATGACTTTCCCCCATTGAAAAGACTGAGTAAATATCGTACACAGTTTTTAACAGTAACAAAAAAGGTTGTATTACTTTTGTTTCCCAGAACCAAATGACTGCCTTTATTAAGTGGTACTTATAAAACCTACATGCTCTATGAAAATATTAGCTCTCAACATTTTAACACTGCACTTACTGGTGAAAAACAAAGTACAACATGGAGATTATTTCTTGCTCTGGAGATGAAATAATCATATAAGTTTTCCTGAGTTGGAGGTCTCCGTGGGTGTTCTTTCTTCATTACTGGAATAAGCTCTTGGGTAATTTCATCCATCTCATCTCTAGCAAAGAGGTTGGAGACCTACAAAATAAATAAATTTATAAGTTCTTGCATTTTATGAAGAAGGTGCTGTTGTGACTTTATTGCCAATTTATAAGTTTAAGGAACACCTTCCATTATGATAAAATTTAGGGAATCAACTACAGATATGAACATTTTTTGAGAAAGTACAATAATAAAGCAAATGTAACAATCAATTTATAAAACTCTTTTCATCAACAAAATTATCCAACCTTTATAAAATGTTTCATAAATTAATTCTGTCAGCTTTATGTGCAATTAAAGAAAAAAAAAAGTTTTTTTCTTAGTTTTGGGAGATGCTGAAGAAAAAGCCTCTTCATGAAGTTAAAAAATATAGTTAGGTACATATAGTTAACATCCAGTTACAATCCTACCTCTCCTGAGCTCAACACATTATTCATGTACTCCAAGAAAGCCTCATCCTTTATCTCATTATCTGTGAATATAAATGTGATCCCATTTCCTTCAGCCCCAGCAACATTGTACAGGTATTTTAAGTCATCCATCAAGTTGCTCACATTGTATGTCCTGAAACAAAACAGACCAGGATAACAACACAGCCAATAACAATGTATATAAGATAAATATTATAGTAATGTATAAAATAAATCTATTTAGTAATATATTAGATATATATCAGTGTTTGCCATTTAGGAAAATTAGTTGCTGGACCAAAAGTGCAGCCATCTTGAAAAGTAGCTGGACTGAATGTCTGCTGGGGTGGAAAACTTCTCAGCCTGTTCTGAAAGTTGTCAGCCCCGGGCAGACGGTCCAGCCTCAATTTCTAACACTGATATATATCTAATAATATTGGTCATTTAGTAGTCCTTAGGCACACGCAAGCATTAAAAATTCTTAGACAATTTCTAAAATAATTAATTCTGATACCAAAAAATACACTTGTGTGAATTACTCATAAGCAAAGGACAAGTTATGTTGATGATTCCACAAACCTTGTAAGAGTTATCTGGTAGATCTTGTACCCAGCAATAAATGAGGCCAGCCTTGTAAGGGACTGTTTTCCTGAGCCTCCTACTCCAACCAAGAGGGCATTACCACGAGGAGTACGGATAATACGGGAAATCTAAAACATGGAGATGCATTGTAGTTTTTCATTTTCTAAATATGAACATGTACCAGTTGATGCCATAATGGGAACTATTTGCATTAACTTTCCCTCAGTCTTAATTTCATATCTTTGTCTTCAAGGGAAGTACATAGGATGACAACCCTGTATTCTGATACACTTACCACAATCAAATGCACCATGGCATCCTGGAAGAACACCAAATCCATGTGGGCTCCTCGAATGGTCTCATTGTAGTTGGCAACAAAGAACTGGAGACGCTCCTTTAACTCTTCAAAGCTGGGGATCTAAGACAAAACCCTCTTTATTGAGAAAATATAGTCACAATTAAATAAAAGTGAATGATGTGATCACCACTGGAGGAAACTGTGGAGGCTTATGTAACAGTTAAAAATCTAATACCTGATACTTAAGACTACAGGTAATTCTGACACTAAAAAAATAAATAAAAAAAATAAACAAATAAATAAATATCCTGAGTATCTAACAAAGAGCGAGCTATAACATGCATGTAAAGCAATACTTTCTTTTGAATTTAATCAACATTCCTGCAAACAGCGCAGAATGAGAAATGTGTTTAATATTTTGCTTCACTGACTGGTTCATAAAGTTTAGGTGTCTCTATTTCAGCATCTTCTGGTTCTTCTCCAGTTGGTTCTGGGGCATCTCTCAGGAAGTCCACAAAGTAATGTGTCTCCTTCACCATCTCTGCATATTCCTCACCCACATGTTCCTTGGCTACACGGATCACTGCTTCCTCAAACCACTTCTTGTCATCTTCATTGGTAAACCTAATGGGAAACGCACAAATATTTACATAATGCTGAAGTTTTTAATTCTAAAAGTAAAACTGTCTTCACATCTGACACCTTTCAATCAGTACAGACTATTTAAATTAACTCAATTTTAGTAAAATTAAAAAAAAAATTTGTTTCAATTACACGAAATGCTCATTACCCATCTTTCTAGGTAATCTGAATAAAAATGCCTGCTCCTGTTAAGCAAAATTTCTAGATAAATCAATAGACTCTAAGCACTGCTTCAGGTACTAGTATATACCCTGCATATATGCAAAGACAGAAACAGAAAGGAAAATATCCTCAGAATTGACCCCTATGACAAAATAGAACAGTCACCTGTCAGCTATCACCCTGTAACATTCATTTTTCCAGAGTGCCATGAGGACACTGGAGGAAGCACACTCGTCTCCCTTGATGGTCAACATGCCCTGCCAGATACGGGACAGATCACGCAGGTTGAAGATGTAGTGGAACTTGGCAGGTGTGGGAAGCATTTTCACCTAAAAATATCATTAAAAGGAAAAGTGTAGACTCTGACCCTAGATTATGGAAAGACACCAGAAAATGGTACAAAATCAAAAGTTTGCAATTTTTCCCCAAGCATGCAGAGTGTAAACAATCTCTCTTAGAGTGTTAGTTTAAAGGTCTGCTTTAACTTGAACAATGTGTCAAATATTTGTGCCATACAGATCATGACATTTTAGTAAGACTATAAGCTTCTAACCAACTTATAAATTTCGTCTGCCCTTACCTTGGTTTGCTGCCATAGTATTCTAGTGGCTGGCACCAGTTGTTTGATCAGTTCTACCACTTCTGGGCAAAACCTGGTGGAGCAGAAGTAACCTTCACCAATGATACCTGGAACACAGCATGACACACCATTACATTATTATAACAATAATGCTGACATAAAAAATTATATATATTTTGCAGTTGCTTTCCTGAAGGGCTTCACTTTCAAAGACAAGTACAATGCAAAACAATGCACTGAGTTTTGTTTTTGAGCGTCATTTATACATTCATTTCTAAATGCTGTATTTAATGACTACCACTTCATTTTTGTTACTGCATCAAATTGCACAGATCACTTAGGTCTTGCCTTACCAAATATCTTATCAATAGAGTTATTTGATGGCAATGTGCAGTTGAAGATGGAGAACTGTCTCTTCAGTCTCTGTGGTATATCATTTCTTCCTCCTCCAGGTTGGATCATGGCAGCAATGAACTGGACATCTACAATATGGGTGAAGTCTCCTGGTTTCTCCAGGCTGTACATACCATGCATCTCCATCATCTGGCGTGTGATCTCATTAGTCACCTGTTGTGTAGGATAAATACTGGTTACTGACATTTGTTTAACTTAAACATCAATTTTGTAGTGTCCATTAAAATATATTTAGGCAGTGTAATTAATTATACATGTTCTTGACTTTTCCTTCTCTTGAACTTGTTTTTTTTTTTTTTTAACATTGAAATGTCTTCTGAATTTATTGGATTTTAGACTTCAAATAAATATAATTTATTATTATTACTACAAATTACCATCTTGAAACATATCAGTGATGATGATCATAGAAAAGTCTTAAAGTACCTAATTCAATTTAAATAAAAAGCACACAAAAACCTGCCCCTCACCTGATCTCCCCACTCATTGATGATAGGCATATTGACATCATCTACAAACACCGTCATCTTCCTACCACCTGGGGGACCATATGTACTGCCCATACGCTTGTCGACATAGCTCTCTATGGTCCTCTGCAAAATACAGCAAGACAAACTAGGAAGAGAAAAGTAAGAAACAAAAAGAATATGAAAAGAAACGAGTTGAACGGAAATTCAGTGACAAATGGAGAGAAGATAGGCCATGGCTGACATCCAATCCTGAGCTGAAAAAAATGTTCTGTTCCGAGAGCCAGGAGTATTACAGCAACGACTACCAGCAGCAGAAGTCAAAAGTCTTCATTGTGGGCTCTGACAATTTTTGTATGTCCACAGTGAATGACCACGAGTTGGCTAAGGGGCACGTTAGGGCCCAGAGTTCCTTCATGAACAAAAAGAAAACTGACAAAGAGAAAACCTGGTCACAGGCTGGGCAGACCCTGTGTAAACTTCAGACAGCAGAAAGAGATCGTCTAAAGGTAAATATTTCGTAATGCGCATGCCATTGCGAAACATAACGGGCCACTGACAGATTTCACCTGGCTTTGCAAGCTTGACATTGCTAAAAACTTGGACTTAGGGACAACATACATGAATAACAGGGCTGCTGCATCATTTGTAAACAGTATTGCAGAAACCGAGCACGCATCAATTAGAAAATTGTTGAATGAATGCCTTTTTTTTTTTCATTTTTGATGGATGGAAGCACAGACATCGCGGGCAATGAACAAGAAACTGTTTATATCAGGACTTGTTTTAAAGGAAATGTCTCTGAAAGGTTTTTGGATATAAGTTCATCCAAGTCTACAAAATCCCAAGACCTGTATGAACACTTGATTGAATAGAAGTACTTCAGAAGAATCAAACTGACAAGGGTAAATAAATAATTTAGTTTCAGTTTAAAGAAACATGATAACTTTTTTTGTTGTTTATAAATTTTCTTTCATTCATATAAAGGGAATAAAGGACATCTTACTTTAATTTGCAAACAGAAGTAACCTTGTTAAAACTAAAGTTTCCCTTTATATTTGCAGACAAACTGGTCGGTGCTCGCTCTGTACTATCAACATTGGTGAAGGATAACATAAACAGTGAGATTGTAAATGTACATTGTTTGTGCCA